GCGCGCGGGGGCGCAGGTGAGCCGCGGGCGGCGGCGGGCGGGGCGCTGCGGCGGGGGTTGCGGGCGGCGGCTGGTCCGCTCTGCCTCACCCAGGCCAACCCCTTAGGCTCCGTGTCCCGGGCCCTGTCTTCCGGGGCCCCACAAGTGTGCTGGGTGTCCCCGAGCGGAGGCCCGCCCGTGACCATGGCGCTAGGCGGGGTCTCCCACCCGCCAGAGACCCAAGGACCCCTGCGAAGAGCTCGGGCACCGGGCGGCCATCACATACACCAGACGAATCTGAGGTTTAGGAAGTCACTGCCCACTGTCCCCACAAGGGCATCCCTTCTTTAAGCGTCACAAATTGGGGGCACCCCAGCTAGGGGCCTTGGCTCCAAGCCTTTTTCCTTTCTCACCTGTCTCCTTATTTCTACACCTCCTTTGGGTCTTTTCCTGTGATCAGCTTCTGCTTCCTGGAGCCCTGGCCCCCTGTCCACCTCCTCACCTTCCTTATGCTCTCCAAAGTTCTTCTGGCAGTGGGGCCCCGTGGGTTTCCCTTTATTTTTCCTTTATGTGGATTTTTTCTTTGGAGCGTAGCCCGAACCTGCCAAGGCAGGGGTACTTTCCATCTGCTTGTTATCCTGTGCCTGGAGCAGTACTTGGCATGCAGTAGGTGCTCAGTGAATACTTGTCAAATGCACTAGCATGCCCGGGGGTGGGGGGGCCTGGAGCTGGTTGTCGGCTGCCACCAGCCTGTCCGGGCACGCTCCTGTGCCCGCCACTGTGGCAAGGCCTGTTCTCATGGGGGCGCTGGTAACCTCAGCCCACGGCGCTTCCAGTTCAGGCTTCTTGCCTACCCAGCAGCTTCTAATTCGGGTGCATGCTTGGGAGACGCTCTCAGCTGTCAGCCCTGCCTCTGGGGGGCCGGCTCCCTGCTTCTCTCACACAGTCATTAAATGCAGCTGGAGGCAGGACCCCCCTCCCACCTCTGGGCTGGAGGTGCCACAGGTGAGCGGCTGGCTGCTGCCCCTGTTACCTGGATGTCCGGGCCCAGAGGGCAGGCTGGGCCTGGGCAGGCTGGCCCAGAGAGCTCAGCGGGCCTGCCCTGTGTGGTCTGGCCGTGCTGAGTGCCGCTTCCTCGGCAGGTGGGACAGGCGACCACTGCAGTGCCTTGTGCTGTGGTCCTTTGAGGAGCAATGACGGAGTATAAGCTCGTGGTGGTGGGCGCTGGAGGGGTAGGGAAGAGCGCCCTGACCATCCAGCTCATCCAGAACCACTTTGTGGATGAGTACGACCCCACCATAGAGGTGAGCTGGCCTGGTTCCTGTCCACATCCTGGCTCCTGACACGGGCTTGTCTTCTGCCTGCTTTGCAGGAGGGGGTCTCTTCATCGTAGGTCCTGGGGGGCACGAGAGGAGCGAGGGAGGGTCCTGTCCCCGGAGGGCCTGCTGTCTCTAAGCAGTGTCCTCCCCAGGACTCCTACCGGAAGCAAGTGGTCATCGATGGGGAGACGTGCCTGCTGGACATCCTGGACACGGCGGGCCAGGAGGAGTACAGCGCCATGCGGGACCAGTACATGCGCACTGGGGAGGGCTTCCTTTGTGTGTTTGCCATCAACAATGCCAAGTCCTTCGAGGACATCCACCAGTACAGGTGAGCTGCCTGCCAGCCCTCAGGGGCCTCTCATCCTCGCTCGGGCTGCGGGCAGCCTGCCTGCTGGCTCACGCCTTCCCCCTTGCAGGGAGCAGATCAAGCGGGTGAAGGACTCGGACGACGTGCCCATGGTGCTGGTGGGGAACAAGTGTGACCTGGCCGCGCGCACCGTGGAGTCTCGGCAGGCCCAGGACCTCGCCCGCAGCTACGGCATCCCCTACATCGAGACTTCGGCCAAGACGCGCCAGGTGAGCAGGCCCCCTGCCCCCGCAGCCAGCCAGGGCCCCGCCCCGCCCCACCCGGGAGCCGCACTCACTGCCCCCTCTCCCTTGACGCAGGGCAGCCGCTCTGGCTCTGGCTCCAGCTCCGGGACCCTCTGGGACCCTCCGGGACCCCCGTGACCCAGCAGCCCCTCTCGCTGTAAGTCTCCCCGGATGGCAGGGCAGCGAGGGAGGCCAGGGCCCGGGTCTGGGCCGACACAGCTCCCGGGGGAGGTGGAGGTCCCCGGAGAGAGCTGCCCTGAGCCAGACCGGAGCGGTGACCCTGGGGCCCCCACCCCTGTGCCCCCACATTGCCCCACGGGTCCTGGTCGGCCCCAGCCCCTCAGCGGGCCGTGGGGGAGCTGCTGAGGACAGGCCTCTCCACGGGGTGGCCCCTGGGGCCGGAGAGGAGCAGGGTTCAGCTCCCCGTTTGCGGGGTGGGGTGAAGGGGCTGGGGTTCTGCTCGAGGCCGAGGCAGTGGTCCCCGCCCTGAGCTGGCCTCCTCTTGCCAGGGCGTGGAGGATGCCTTCTACACGCTGGTGCGCGAGATCCGGCAGCACAAGGCGCGCAAGCTGAGCCCGCCTGACGAGGGTGGCCCGGGCTGCCTGAGCTGCAGGTGCCTGCTCTCCTGACAGCGGCATGGGTGCGGGCTGTGGAGGTGCCGGATGAGACGCGGGCTGAGGATGCAGGGAAGGAAGGAAGTGCTGCCAGAGCCTGGCCAGCCCAGGTCGGTGGACAGAGTGACCGCGGGCCTCCCGGGACGCTTTGCACAGACTGTCATGAACTGACGCCGGCGGGTCCCCAGTTGTCACTCTCTTCTAGCCCCATCCTGGCCCACGGGGCACAGGCCGAGTCGCAGTAAATTATTTCATGTCTTGACCCTGGCATTTGGCTGAGGTCGGGAGGCTGCGGTGCGAGTGACGCCCCAGGAGGCACGCGGGCACCTCAGCTTTGAGCATCCGGCAGCTTCTCTGCCTCTCGGGGCCCCGGTGCATCCTCCGGAGACCTCTGGGTGCTGCGAGAACCAGCCCGTCTACCACTCAGCACATGAAGCTTTATTCACCTCTAACCGGCATGAGGGGAAGCTGAGACCAAAGACCGTCCCTCCCTGGGGGGAGCCTTCGTAGGGAACGGCTGCGGGGCGGGGAGCTTCTTTGGGCTCCCGGTGGGGTCGCGTCTCCTGAGTTGGGGGCCCTGGAAGGCAGTAACTGACTTCGGCAGAGGGAGGGACACAGCCTGTCGGGTCCAGAGGCACCCTCTGCTCTGCCCCGTGGGGACCAGGTGGCTGCGTGGGGTCCGGCGTCTCGCTCGCCCTGCCTCCTTACGTGTGTGAGGGTGGCCCGCTGGCCCCTGCCATGCCCTCGTTGGAGGTGGCCTGTTGCTCCCAGGGCCACCTCAGGTCACCAAAGCGGCCTGTAGGGCCCATCCAGGCCCCAGGCGGCCACATTCAGCTCCAAGAGGGCTCACCTTGCCTTGGGCAGAACTCTGGACTGGCCAGGGCGGCCCCTTTAGTTATCATCCCAACTGTCGGGGTGCTCACAGCGCCCCTGCCTTCCCGGGGCCCACATCAGGCCGGGCCAGGCGCTTCTGGGTCAGGGCCTTGTGCCGTGTGAGGGGTCCCGTCCTCAAGGCCAGCGTGCAGACGTAGGGCGTGTCACCGGCTTCCCAGGGCCTCGGGGTCACTGTGCTCACAGTCACCTTGTCCTCTGGAGGCCCCTGAATGTCCAGCTTCCTTGTGGACGCCGAGGGGACGTGCGGGGCTTGCTCTTGGGGCACTGCCCCGGCTCCATCACGGCCGTGCTGGTCACTGCCCCAGCAGGGGTGCTGGCTGCAGTTGCCACGGGGCAGGAGGGGTGTCGTGGGCCTGGAAGTGCCATCTTCGGTGGGCTGGGCAGAGCCAGTGGCTGGGACCTCAGTGGGTTTGCAGGGCCGTGCCTGTCGTGTGGCCCTGCGGGTGGCCCAGGCAGGTGTTGAAGGGGAGAGGACCCAGCATTCCGGCTCAAAGCTGATGTCTGGGGGCCACTTGCCTGTGGCCTCATGGTTCAGAGAGACTTGGGAGGGAATTCCATCACTGTGGCCGCAGCCGACGCCGAGGACTGTCCTGGGCTGGGGACAGGCAGGCCAGACTCGGAGGCTCCGGGGCCCCCAGCGGGAGGCCTGCGGCCGTGGCCCCCTCATGCCGCTGCTCCTTGGCCTTCAGGATGGCCGGGCCAGGCGAGGGGCTGGGCTGCTCGTGCTGGGCAGGTGGGCCAGGGAGGGCCAGCCCATCTCCGGGGAGCATCTTGATGCTGGGAGGGGTAAGGAGAGGCCTGGGGGCTGCCCACCCCCGGGCTGACCCAGCCTTCTGATGGCAGCCAAAGCAGAAACGGCTGGGACTTCGAGATGCCCTGTGCCCACCAGGAGGGCTCGGGGCTGCCCCTGGACGCCCCTCGGGAGGGGCATGGCATGTCTGGGGGGTGGGGCTGGGTCCTCCCCAGGCATCAGGAGCGGGTCAGGGAGCACCTCTGGGACTCAGCCTCCTGGGCAGCCTTTGCCCGGTCGTTGAAGCATTGCAAGAACCACCAGATGGTGTCAGTGCCCGTGGACGGCTGCTCCTCGTCCTGATGGAGGGCACGGGCTCAGGGCCTGCGTGCTCGGCTGGAAGCCTCCCTATCTCGGGGCGCCGGGCAGCTGCCCCCAGGGCCCAGGTGGCTGTGCTGCCACGGGCGTGCTCATCCCGAGCTCGCCGCTGATCCCTGACCCCAACCAAGAAGGAGAATGAAGCCTGCAGGAGGCCAAGCCCCCCGCGGTGGCTGTGGGGCGGTGCCTCTGTGGGGGGCGGGGGCGATGCATCTACTCACCAGGTGTCGCTGCAGCTGGGGGGGGGGGCTCTGCCTAGGACGTGCTTTTCGTGGGCTTTGGAGCCTCAGCAGTTTTGGGAACACTCGGGGATGAAGCCCGAGGAGCCCCCGGACCCCCACAAGTCAGAGCCGTGTCCAGCGAGGGTGGAGCACCGCAGGCGCCCCCCGGCGGTGACCCCAGCGGGCGGGGCCCTCCTGCGCCCTGGCTGGACATGCCCTTCCCAGGCAGGACAGCCTGAGGCCGGGGCGGCCGGGGCAGAGGCCCTGTTCCCAGAGGCCCAGCTCAGCTGGTGCCCTGGGCTGAGGGGTGGGCAGGCGTCCGGCCCTGGCACTTTCCCTGGCCGCAGTGGGGGGTGGGGGACCCAGTACAGAGGGACAGGGAGTGCAGCCCACGGAGTGGGTGACGGGGGTGTGCCTGGCCCTCTCCTAGGCTTGGCAGCCAGGTTGGGGGCACGGGAGGGGGTGTTGCTGCCGCCGGGGCTTCGTCTGGCTGTGGGCTCGGAGGGCGGTGGCAGGTGGCAGGTGTGAGGCAGAAGGACCAGCAGGGAAGGGAGAGTTGCCTGGATGAGGCCGGGACTGAGGGCCGTGGCTCTAGGACCCAGAGGGCAGCACGGGGAGCCCATGCCCTTCGCTGATGGGGACATAGACTGGGCCCAGTTCCCCTCCAGCCCACTGCTGGGGGAGCTCTGCAGGGAGACCCCTGGCCCTGACGCACTCCCAGCTGTCCTCAGTGGTCACCTACCATGCATGGCATGTTTCTCGTCAGTCATCAGCTGGACCAGCGCCCAGAAGGCATCCTCCTCACTCAGGAACGTCAGCAGGATGGCCATGACCTGGCTCATGCCCTGGCAGTGCCCACCTCTTGCAAGAGCCAGATGTGCATGGAGGACCCACCCGGAGGCCTCTTCTGCCCCCTCCACACTACCACCTCAGCTCCTGGATGGGCTCCCGCCTGGCCGAGCTCACACTGCCCTGGAGGGGCCACCTGAGATGCCCTCTGGGCCAGAGAGCCCCTGAGCAAGCTCAGACGCCAGCACCACAGCAGCCCCGTGCCGGAGGCTCTGGGCGCCGTCCTGGGTCCCCTTTCCCAGACGAGGCGAGGGGGGCGTTGGGGCCCGGCACAGTCTGGAGGTCCTGCCGTGAGGGCAGGCTTGGGGGGGCCTGACCTGGGAGAGCACAAGGCCAGGGGACTGGCCCAAGACCCCACTGTGGGCAGCCCTTGGGGTCCTCTCAGCTGGTGTTCCTCGAGGGAATGTTCTGGAAAGAGCAGGTGGAGCAGAGCTGCCTCCCTGGGGGCCCCACAAGAATTCTGATTACTGGGAACCTTCATCCCTGCCAAGTTTCTGATTAATAATACAGCATTTTTAGGATCAAAACTCGAGTTTCAGGGGTAAAGTCTACATGCAATGAAATATAAATATCCCAGGTATACAGTTTGACAAGTTTTTATTTTCTCTATTTTTTCAGTTTGCACACATTACAGTTCAGTCTTGGGGATGTACAGCCCCTTGGGTTTTCGCACACAGGCAGGGCCACCGCATCTGTGCTCCGGCCTAAGATCCCACCCTATTAGCCCCGGCAGCTGCTGACCCTCACCCTCCCGGGGCTGTGCTTTTTCCAGAACGCCCTGTGAATGGAATCATATGTGGGTCTGGATTCCTTCACTTAGCAAAATATGTCTAAGACTCATCCATGCTGTTGAGTGAATCAATAGCTTGTTCCTTTGTGTCCCTGAATCAAAGTCCATTTCATGGAATCCCACAGTTTATCCATTCCCTTGATGAAGATGATCTTGGTTGCTTCCAGTTTTTAACGATCACGAACAGAGCAGTGAATATTGCATGCAGGTTTTATGTGGGTTTAAGTTTTCAGCTCATTTGGGTAAATACCAAGGAGCATCATTGCTGATCATATGATGAGAGTATATGTAGTGGTTTTTTTTTTGACTGCATTGGGTCTTTTTTTTTTTTTTCTGCATTGGGTCTTCACTGCTGCAGCACGTGGGCCCTAGAGCACACGGGCTTCAGTAGTTGTGGCTCGTGGGCTCTAGGTGCACAGGCTCAGTAGCTGTGGCGCACGGGCTTAGTTGCTCCGCGGCATGTGGGATCTTCCCGGGCCAGGGATGGAACCCGTGTCCCCTGCATTGGCAGGTGGATTCTTAACCACTGCGCCACGAGGGAAGTCCCAGTATGTGTAGTTTTGTAAGAAACCGCCCAACTGTCCTCCACAGTGGCTGCACCATTTGCATCCCCACCAGTGCTGGATGAGAGTTCCTGTTGCTTCACATCCTTACCAGCACTTTGGTTCTTATTCTGCATGAGTCCTTAATTAGATATATGATTGGCAAATATTTTCTCCCACTCTGTAGCTTTTTCATTCTTTTAACAGTGTCTTGCAGAATGAAAGTTTTACATTTAGATATAGTTCTTTCTCTCATAGGTGTCTTTTCTCCCACCTAACCGGCCTCTTTCCCAGTGTCCATGGCCTCACCCCATCCTGGCATTCTGGTTTTCTAATGCAACAAGTGAGGTGCCCTGCAAACAAGCCAGAGGTTTAAGATGGAGCCAGAAGTTGGGACACAGCCATGTTTACTCGTTTGTGTATCCAATAGGCTGTGTTCTCAGACAACAGTGGCTGGGCCTGAGGTCTAAGATATTTACAACCTGGTGCATTACAGGAAACCTCCCTGATTTTGTGCCCAGGCCTGCAGATGGGCAGGGGTGGTGGGTCGGCGGGGCCCACCAGGCTTATCCTCACACCCTGGGCTCCTGTCTGTGTGAGGCCTGCAGCCTGGTGGCTGTGGGGGGATGGAGGTTCTGAGGGCCAGCGGTGGCCGACTTGCCCTGGGCCCGGCCTTGGAGGTCAGCAGAGACACAGCCACGCTCCGGGCCGAGGCAGGCACGGGGCTTCCCAGCTTCGGGCCCGTGGAGTCTCCCCGGTAGAGGAATCTCGTCATGAGAGGAGCGTAGGAGGTCCAGGGCGACCACTCGGGCAGCACAGCCCACGCCTGCCTTGATGCTCCCAGCGCCGTCTTGGCCA